TACTGTATCGTTAAACTGATGATAAATGCATCGAGTTTCAGCACCGGGTTGGTTTCTTATTTCTTCTTTTGATTCGAGTTGTTTGTTTTATCATGTGATTGAAGAGGTTGTGTGTACCTACCACAGATAAAAACACACTTATATCATTACTTTCAGAAAACTAAAATATATCTTAACGTTTTCTATTTGATAACAACACAGTTTTTATTATTTGTATCAGCCGAGTGAACGAAATAATCAAATACAACATATTTATTGTATGAAATGTGCTAAGGTGAGAAGGAACGAAACGTTTCGAATAAGCTCTATGTTTGTTATTATTGCTCCCTCATTAGCTTAAACCCTACGGCTTTGTTTATATACGGCATGTGTTTAGACAATAGCATTACTAAGGACAGGATGAGCGTTCCCTAACAGTGTTCCAGTTCCCAAGTAGCACAGTTACATGGTATAATTTTTCAATGATCACTTTTAAGGAAGCCAGGTGATATCGAAGAAGCATTCTTAAACTACATCTATATAACTACTGTATACTACATACTATTTAGACTCAATATAAACAGTATGTAGTCAGACTTGATACACTTTTGAATACCCAAAGCCAAGTAAGTTAGAAAAAAAGGGTTACACCAGCAGGTATTAAGTTCATCAGGGTGTCTTCAATCAAAGCTAATGTTTGACCAGGGGAAATCATAAAAAATACAACATTACTGACTCGTGCAGTGCTATTCTCGTTGGCATAATTTTCTCTAACAACGGCAGGATACATTAAATTCAGTGTGTTTCCTCAAATTTTGCCTGGTTACCTTGTTATGTTACCACCTACCTCGTCAGCTTCATGATTTGCTTCTAAATCGTTCTATTGTTTTCTTAGCATCGAAGCGAAGGTCCTGAGTGCGAAAGCAGAGGAAAATGCTATTAGTTGATAAACCCAGTACGACGTATATTGGTGAGCTTGTTCGGGGTTTCCTTGGGCATTGTCACTTGTGCATTAAGAAAATGCGCCGAGGAACGCCCGAGCTGCTACACAACCATATGAAGTTGTAGTTCGGATTAATTTGATGAGGATATCACCGAATAAACTGCGATACACAAATGATATAGAAAACCTGAAAAAGAATTTCCCCTGCATATCGAACTTCCGTGTTTATTTAATAGGTGCACAAACTGAGACCCCGCGGAATGCAATTATTAATCAGGCATCGAAACCTGCAGAATTATTCAGCACAGAGTAATTAGTCTGAGCAACGTAATGCAAATATAAATGCACGCAAGTGTACCTTTGCCCCACTAATACTTACTTACCTACTGCGTCATTTTCACGATGTGCCAAATGCTCACCCTATTTCTGCCACTATCCGGAAAAGAAGGTGAAATCTATAAGTATGAACAGAATGGTTTACCAAAATAGAAGCAAAGTAACTCAAATCATTAATTTCACTATAAATTAAATTACATTATCGGTGTCCCATTGCTAGTATTACTTCACTTGGTTAACACGATTGAGCGGCGTAACTAGGACGGTCGCCGGTTGTCCCTATGATGTCACTGTGTTGCTGCGGGGGATCATTGACCCGTCTCAACCAAGTTTTTCTTTCAATGCTTTTACCAACTCGTTGACGAGCGCGACTCAAGCGACTTGAATAAAAACCACTATAATGCCGGGTACATATCCAGTCAGCACCTTTACGTTTAGAGACGTAGCAACGAATTCGATAAAGCCAGTAGAAGCTGTCGGTGATGCGGTGGGCCTGCCAGTCTGCCTGTCTGGACTCTCGTTCCAGGGTCAACGATCAGCGGAACGCAACTGGCCGGACTAACTGAGCGATAAATGCCTTCCCGTCGCTGACTAGCGCACGCGACACGTTTATGGGACAGCGAGCCTTTGGCGTTCTGTGCTCTAAAGCGTCCTATAATTTATAGTTAGACTGTGTATTTTAGCAACTCTTTTACCTACTGTTCACAGTATGAACTTTGTCATGATTTCCTAAACAGGACCTGGCTAGCTGGAGTGCAAAGACATGTCATATGTCTCTGCAATGAATGCTCTCTAAGTTGTTACCATTTCGTTCCGATGCTTATCGACATCCTCCTGAAGATACGTTAACTTGGATCCGGTGAGTGTCAACGCTCTGAGGTATAGTACACTGGGAAATCGCGTTTAATCCACCGCGAGGTGGAAATCTCTTAGATCGAGATTAATGAGCTTCCTTAGAACTACGGTACTTGTTAGGTATTACCCGTTCAGTTTGGTTGACAATCTTTGTACCCATATTTATTGGGATGAAGGATAAGTAGATAATCACAGCAATGTACATTGGTACTTTGGTAAGCAATGGTACATTGGGTAGTAATATCAAAGAAATGAATCGCTATCACAGACGACGCGTTCGAACTTGAACATAGGGTCTCGGCCAACTTAACGAAGACCCTGGCTATCTCCAAAAACGTGTATCCATCATAGATTACAAATAAATCCCGAAGCTGCCCGTTAAGATCGTCCTAGTTTTACGAGTGACGGAATACATCGGCATATTCTAGGAACCGTTAACGTTTGCTGAAAACTAATACAACTGTCGTTGTTGTTGTCGAGGCGAACGTGTTGACGAATTGTTTAGCCAAGGCAATCTAGGGCGCGGTTCTGCGCGACTGCGCAAGTGTTCCTGATCCCCGTCGCTTGGCCATCAACACGCGTCAACACATAGAGTAGCATGTTCGAAGAACGCCGAATGCGGAACGTGCAGAGTGGCGAAGTACTGTGATCCCTAATGCTGCATACACATACAGATTATTTGCATGGTTCACGCAGCTGCAGCAGCATCCATAATTCGATGGAAGTAAGCAAACGGACGGGAGATGAAAGGTCGAAAGGCTCCTGTATGTCGCGCTCAATTTCAAGCGGACTATTTTTTTCTATAGGGGCTTCAATGCTAGTAATGAGAAACTATTCTAGTAGCAATGACGAGGAGGCGTCTTCGCAATGATTCACAGTGGTTCGCAGCATTGACCTGATCGGCTCGTGTCCGCGCCTAGTGCTCGCAGCGGAAAGCAGCTGCGACAGCAATCACATTGAATATTGAACTCTCGTTTCTGCCAGATGACGGAGGCGTGCCGTAACACCAGCTAAAGTGTAATTTTTACCAAGAGATGCAACGAAAGAGTCCAGTCATTTAAGTATCAATCACACATGAGCATATAGGTAGACATATACTGGATAGCTTTTTTCGGTAATAGTAGCGTTATGCTTTGCGTTGGCTTTGGCCTGCAATTCATTGATTTGTATCAAATATTTTTAAACCACTCGAAAGTTTACGTACTGGCGAAGTGTGCTACCATTATAAAAGCGTGCCCATTAAACTGGGCTGCAGAAGTAAAACGTTCAGAGATATCAACAGTGTCCGCGTGGTGAAGAACAGATTCTCTTTGAACGTAGACATAATTGCATATGAGAATAACGTATGGATTTGTTTATCACTTGATAGATGAACTTGACTACGCAAAAGGAAACGTTTCGGGCTTTCCACTACAAGACCTTGAAACTCATCATTTAAGGTTTCTAATACGTACGTTCAAGCGGGTACATGTGCCAGGCTTACGGATTCTGATTGCGTGTAAACAACTTTAGAGACTTACAGAGGATCTGTAGTTGTTCGTATTTATATCAAGGTAAATCCGAAAACTTGTAGTTTCTACCTTACTTTTGCTATACAAATTTAATTTCAGTACCTTTCACATTCAAAGGGGATATTTTCAGGCGGCTTACCGAATCACTCATTGTCTTGTTAAGGACCGTAACCGCGCGCTATCAAATTGTATCCCTATTGCAGTCATAAGCATAATCATAGCCTTACATACGACAACTGGGCCGGCCGGATGGGGGCTCAGGGGTTTCTTTGCTCGGCTTCTCTAAGTCTACGGCATAAGCCTAACTATCAATTAAGAAAAGAAAAAAAAAAACATTATTGGAATAGAGGATTGACTAAGCAAAAAAAAAACGTTTGTGAGATCAGCAATGGCACTAGGCGGTGCGCTAACACTTGTATTGTAGCTACGTTCCGTGCGGTAGGAAAAGTGGTAACTATCTCATGCGGAAGCAAATGTAGTAGTTGTTGTTGTTTGGCCCCGTCGCGTTGCTAGAAGAAGTAGGCCAAGAAGCCGTTCGTTCTGTTCAACTATAAAGGGTTAACCTGCGTGTGTGCCATCGCTACCGCCGCTTTCTTGCTAGTCACTACTACGGGCAACAATGTCCGTACGCCGACAATCTTCCATGAACATCATCGCAGGCTAATGCTCATTGCTATTTCGTGTTGTTTACTGCAATAAGGACGACGTACACGATCGTAATAACAACAAGAACAACATCACGACCTGACGATAACAACAACAACGACAACAGTGCCGAACCCTGTCCTTGTGTTCATCTATTGCGCAAAACAACTTAGAGCGCCAACTCCGCAAACCCGAATGGCAGGCTGGCGGCGGTGGCGACGACTAGTGACCAGATGCGTTGGTGTCGGCGGTCTCAGTCACGCTAGCAACTAATAGAAAGCTCTCTAAATCTGATACAGATAGATAAATATTAAAGGCCGTGTTTGGACGGACTGTTCCGCACAATTGTTACTGCCACATTCGTTCGTCTCCATTGCCAGGTATGTATGGAGCTGTGCATCGGGTCGGTGGGTCAGTTTAACACCCAGCCAACGGCCGCTACGGCTAACGCCAAAATAACGTAGCCGCTCGAGACAATCTCTGATGGCCGCGCAATCTCATCGTTAGTTGTCAGTCGTTTAATCGTCGATCAGTTGATCAGCCAGGCCAGGCCAGGCCAGGCCAGGCCAGGCCGCTCGTTTGTTTGTCTTCAGTCTTTGTGT